ATCAAAGTTTTAACAGTGCAGAAATTTCTAGACTTCAATCATATAGAGACTTATTATATGTAGCGCATATTATTGAAACAAGGCTAAATTCATGGCTATCAATTAGCTTAGGTGATGAAATTGTATCTTCTCCAATGACAGCAACTATAAGATCTCCAATATCAGAATCTCCAGGAAGTCTGCCTGAATCTAATATGTTGGCACATTCTTCATCTGTTGACTCAAGAAGCGATAAGCAGGGAATAAAATCAAACAGTATGAAATTTAATAGCTCTCAAATGCTTCACCAATTCAGAAGAGGAAGTAGGCACCTATGCCATTTGTTGGTAAAATGCACTATATCATCAGATGATCTTTCAGATTCTTTCAATTCTCATGAATTTTGGAGTAGTTTACAAACAGCATCTTTAGAGTTAATTGCGACTATTAACCAATTGGTAGCATATATGCTGGACTCGTTAGTGTCATCTGAAACAATTGAAACTGTGCCTCAAAGATGGAAAGATGCTCTTTTCAATTTGCACCAAATTTCCATTCACTTGAAATCAATGACTAACAACTTACAAATTAAAAATGCTGAGCAGACTGAAAAGTTGGATATAGGTTCAATACTTGACAAAGTACCTCAACAGAAAAATGCACCCAAAGTGCGACCATTTCATCGAAAACAACTCTCTGAAAATAGTTTACTTTCCAAGAGAAACGTTAACCTCTCTCCATTAAACAAAGCAACCAAAGTAGCGCCTCAAAAGTCTTCTCATACATCTACAGAAGATCAAGTTAATAATAGCGCAAACAACCACTTATATTTATCTGTTGAGATGGGTGTGTCAGCTGCATTCAAGGTTCTTAACTCTCTTAAAGACTCATTTGCTAGTAATCAAATAATTCTGAACGGAAAGCTTGAAAATTTATCCAAGAATATACAACGCTGCGAAGAAGCAACTCAGAGTCTGGTTGGGTGTTTAAATATGCTTTTTGAAATTCCTAGTCCTAATAGTACTGTTAACAGATACAAAGACTCTGAAACACCAAATTTGACTGATCCAACTCAACTTCCACGCTTTTATTCTCATGCGCAACACTTCGTGGAGTGTATCCTCTCACTTTTACAAGATCTCAAAACTCATTCTAATGATATCAACTTGTTCAAAATCCATGGAATTGATCAACTGAGTCTACTGGTATCGTCAACAAAAGAAATAGCACACAACCTTCCTTCTAAATAGCTAATTTCTTTAAATTGGTATAGTTTTGTATTTATGAGTCTGGAAAAGAAATTTTTATTAAATGTAATTTACTAATATTTAGAAATATATAATATATTCTAAATCAATAAAAGCTTTAGATAATAAGTGTTTTAAGCTTCACTAAAGCTAGAGTTCAATTATCAAATATTTTTGCAGAATATTATTGATCTAGTGTGGTTTATTAGCAGATAGCTTATTGTTAGTATTATTTACCTTCCATGAGCACAAGCGAAAGGGAATCTGCATAAAGCCAGCTTTTTAATCAATATCTTTGCTTCATCTGGTTTAATTTCGTAGTTAAACTTGATACTGCCTATATTCTAAATTAGTTTTTATTAATACATTGAAACTTTGCGATTACTATGGCATGCAAAATCTCTTATCAGCTTGAGCATCTCAACAGATTTCAATGGCGCTGCTGAGCTAAGACATTTTATTATCATTGCTTTGGTTAAATTTTTAACTGACTCGATATTCAAACGCTCATTGAATAAAGAATCTCTAAATATACATAAAGGAATGGACTCAATCACAAATACTATATATTTATTATTCATGCTTTTAATATTGACTTTGACTTTGACATAATCCATTTCTTTAACTACTTCGTTGATATCTTTGCAAAAATGTTCACTATTCGTATCAATACGTATTTCTTTATTTTTATAAATATTAAATGTAGGTAAGTTGGTCTTATTCAAATTATAAACATAATTATTTAGTAAATATTCTAATTGTATTCTTTCATGAGCCCCATGTTGGTCTATTATAAATAATTTACAGTTAATAATACTGTTTGATTGATATATTAAAAATTTATGATCATATTGACCAATATAAACAGCATTTTTTAAATCTAGCTTATTGAAATTCATTAGAAAAATAGCGTATTATTCTTTAGCATCAAGATTTATATACCCCATTAAACTCAATATAATAATTTGTACTGAGTAAATTTAAGATTGTTGAATCATTTTTGACAAATAATATTGTTTATTTTAGAAAAAATAGTTTATTAACCTAGTTTTAGTTGGTTATAGTGAAATTTCTTATTAAAATTAATCTCTGAATTCTTTGTTAAATTCTCTTCCAATGAGCATTCTTCTAATTTCAGAGGTACCAGCTCCAATTTCGTAGAGCTTAGCATCTCTAAGGATACGTCCAGTAGGGTAGTCATTAATATAACCATTACCACCTAAAAGTTGAATACCGTCTAAAGCAACTTGGGTGGCGTTTTCAGCACAGTAAAGGATGACACCAGCACAGTCCTAGATAGCCGTTAATAAATTGTTTCGCAAGTAATAATAATTAAATACCTTATTTGATGAGAATCCGGCATCGCAAGCACGGGCAACGTTGTAGAGATAAGAACGAGAAGCATTGAGTTTAGTATACATATCAGCCAACTTTCCTTGAACCAACTAAAATATTATTAGAATAGACTACAGAATA